AAATATTAATTATGAAATATTTTTAACTGAATAACAAAATTTTGTTGGTATGTAAGATTTAATTAAAAATATCTTATATATAAAAATAAAAAAAGTATTAACTTTTATTCAAAATCTGATTAACAATGAGCTACTCTCCCTAAATGACAATATAAAACATCTTTTAAAAACCTTTTCTAGTTCAAAATATAGGGTATTGGATAACTTTGATATTTATTTTTTTAAACTATACCTCTATTTTATTTATTGCTTTTTAAAAAAAATTATGTATTAAAATTTTAATTACTATTATCAAAGCGGTTATATAGGATACTTAATGAGGATATAAATGACAAGATGTGAATATTTTTAAAAATTTAAAATTTTAACTAACATTATTCATAAATCGTGAGTTAGTTAACCATAACTTACTCACTTCATTTCTATTTGTAAAAGAAAAAAATTATTTTCATACAGTTTAAAAAAATTAATTAACTATATTAATTGTGTTTGAAAATAAAAGAACTGGATCACAATATCATTTATTAATTATGTTAATCAAACCTTCATTAATTATTTTTTATGACTATGAATGATAAAATTATAAGGGGTAATTTAGAAAGTTTGCAATAAATGTCTATTAAAAAATATAATTTTATTTATATAAAAAATAAATTAAAAATAAGAGTTTTTCTTATAAATAAAGACAGTGAAAGCATATTGTAGTGCGGAGGGAGTATAATAATAAGATTCAAATCCATAATAAACTGATGGACGGAGCATCATTAAATTTGTAAAGTATTTTATAAAAGAAGTCACAATATCATGTACGACCTCAATCAGCTTCATTTCTCTTGTCCATTGCTTCGCTCAAGATGTTCTTCAGCTGCTCGAATACCTTCATAATGTTTTGACGGAGAAGCAATGATTACAATGGCCTATTAATCTTTTTCTCTTGTTCCTTTTTATTTTCTTCTGCACCGCATAAGACAGCCTTTTATGCTTTTTATTTAATATATTCATTTAACTTTTTTTTTAAAAAAAGCTTTATAACTTTCATTTGATATTTTTCTCGAATTACGTACTCTAACTAATTTGATTGTTTTTTTCCTGAAAACATGACAATAAATTTTTTATAAATTATATAAATAAAAATATAATTGTTTAAAATGTTATAATTCTGTTAAAGTTTTTAGAAATTTTTTATCATTAATGAATGTATCTAAATGATCAAATTATCCTTATAGCAATATCAAAAATTTAACATATAAAGTTATGATTTACTGTTATATTATTACAAATATAAAAAGTAAATTTTTAATTATTTAAATAAAATTTATGATTATTACTTGTTATTTTCAACATTTATAGCAATATTGATTTAACATGCAAACTTATTTAACATGCAAACTTATAATTCATTGTTACATTATTGTAAATATAAAAAGAAAAGTTATAATTATTTAAACAAAATTTATGATTATTACTTGTTAGTTTCAATACTTATAATAATATCAAAAATTTAATATGTGACATGATAATTTATTGTTGCATTGTTATAAATATAAAAGTAAAGTTATTATTACTTCAACAAAACTTATAACAATTTTATTTTTAATAAAAAATAATTTAATTATTTGTATAAATTTATTAATGATAAAAAAATATTTAAAAATTTTAGTAAAAGTATAACATTTTAAATAATTAAATTATTATTTATATAATTAAAAAATATTTTTATTTTTTATTTATTTATTTTTTCCACTTTCTTTAGTCCCTGTCATATTCAATACCCTTATTAAAAAGGGGAGATAACGATATGAAACGTGGATTCTGAGGGAGGAAAAAGTCAGTCAAGGGAGGTGGGACCCACAAAAAGACAGGGTTACTTGCTCCTCCGGTATTCAGTCACCTCAAATGAGAGAGAGTGGGGGATGCCCGTCAAAATGGTTGACTTGTGAGATTTACTGACACACTATGGAGAGAGAAAGAGAGTTGAATTGGGTCACGTGGGACGCGCCGCACGATTCGGGGCGGTGCCTCTCATTCATGACGCGGTCAAACCCGTTTCTTCACGCTCTTTCATTTGATTTCAGGCTCCATGCGGCTTTGAAAAGGGGGCCAAAAAAAAAAATTCTTAGGTGACATTTGCTTACTAAAAAAATAGAGTGAAATAGATTAAAAAAATAAAAATAAAAATATAATGATTAAAAATAAGTGAATATATTTATAAGAAAAAAGAATTGATTTAATTTATAAGATTAAAAATAATGATTCATGAGATTTATAAAAAGTGTTATGATCCCCATATTTAATATTTATAATGCATATTAATGAGTTTTATTATGCTTATCTTATGAGAAATGGTAATTTAGTTTATTTTTATCTTTATTTTTTAATTTATTTCATTTCATTTCTTTTTGGTAACAAAAACGATATTTAAATACTGGCATTACTCCTTCCACGTTTCAATATAAAATATTCTCTAAAAATTTTATTTGGTCCAAAATATAGAATATTAAGTAAATTTTATAATAATTTGTTTAACTATATCCTAATTTATTTATTATTATTTTTAGAAAATAATATATTATAATTTTAATTATTATTATCAAAGCACTTATGTAAAGTATTTAATGAGAGTAAAATATAAAAGATGTAAATTTTTTTAAAAAATAAATATTTTAACTAATATTTTTCATAAATTGTGAATTAGTTATCAACACCCTATATTTTTTTATGGAAGGAATATGTACTAGTTCAAATATTACCATTAAGTCCAATAACCCCTTAATTATTGACGATTTTGATTTACACACATCCTAATATATTTCTTCACCTAACGTCTTTTTTATATCAGATGTCTGTGGTGAACCACTAGAAGTAATTGTTATTGTTGTTTTTGAAGTAATTCTTCTTTACCTAATATTTTTCTATACATACGTTTATGTTTTATATAAAACAATTTGCATTTTTCATGCACTAAAACATTACTTTATTTCTCAATACAAAATTATATTGTGATTATTGTCAATATATAAAAATGCTGAAAATAATACTATTTTTCATCTTTTTAATCTGTAAATTTCAAAAACACATACTCCATCAGTTTTCAATTATAAGAGAAATTATTTTTTATTATAAGCAAAATTACAAGTTCCTAAAAGCATTAATTACATTTTTAAAAATTGTTACTCATAAATTGATAGTATAATTAAATTAGAAAAAAATAGATACTATATTAATTGTAAGGGCATTTTAGTTCAAACAATTTAAACTTCGGACATATTATTAAAATTAACTAACTTTTTAAACTGTACATGTCAGTTGATTGAAATTCTCTTAATTACTCTAGTCTTATTTATAAGTCACTTCTAACATATTTGACCATAATTAAAAAAAACTTTAAATCTAATTAATTTTATCTTAAAATTTAATAAATTTTCACCTCTTTCCCTAATAAAAATAGAAAGAACTATTTTTAATCATTTTTTCTAGCATTTAACAAGAGCAAAAAGGTAAAAATGAATATAAAAATAGTGAAATGCCTTATAAATAAGATTAAAATTAATATTATCTCTCAACTTTATAAATAGGACTAGAGGTCAAAAATAGAGGGAGTACTTTGTGTTGTCTTGATAAATTTCATATTTTAATTTTTTTATTGTAGCATGCTCTCTCATATTTTTATTATAAAATGCTTTCAACTACTCCCTATGATCTCCATATAGGGTGCTTTCTATAAGAATTCTTTGATCCTTAAAATAAGGCACACAGAGAATTATTTCCTAACATTTTTTAATTTTACCCCTATTGTAATTAAATTTAATTATATGGCTTATTATTATATACTATGTATATCTCTTTCTATTTTTAATAAGGTTAAGTCAAAAAAATTCATTTCGAGATATACGCCCTCCGTCCTTATATATAATGTGTTTTCTATAAGCTTATTTCATCTCTAAATATAAGATGTGCCATGATATTTTTGAGTAATTAAACAATTTTACTCTTGTTTTAAAAAAGATATTAATTGTGTGCTTTACTCACCAATACCATGATATTAATTGACATTATTAATGCAAATTTAAAAAATTACTATGATTTAATAGAATCTCAATTAAATAATAAACTTTTATTAGTATGCACGAGACAGTTAAAATCACTTTATACATAGGGACAAAAGGGGTATTTAATAAATTGATTGTCATTTTTTAGTTCCAGTAAAGTTGTTGGAATTTTCTTATAATGGGAACTGACGAAATAATTTACCAAAATCAAGAAATGACAATTGACTCATTAAGATAAATGTCTTAAAATGAAAATTTTATATAATTAACTTTTTGCCTATTAAAAATAGAAAAAGAGAAATACATAGCATACAATAAGTCATAAAATTACACTTACAAGAGAGTGATAAAATTTAAAAAATAATAATAAATAATCCTCTATATATCTTATATCGGAGTATTTTGAAATAAATATTTTCTTTGAATCACAATATAAATTATAATTAATTAATTTATCATTGATGAGCAATATTATTTAAAACCTTAAGTTTTTAAAAATATTTACATATTTTCATTTATATGATAGTAATTAAAATTTTAATACATAATTTTTTAAAAAGAGTAATAATAAAATAAGGATATAGTTAAAAAAATAAATATAAAAATTATATAATATTTTATATTTTGAATAAGATAAGACTTTTAAAAGATATTTTATAATATGATGTGAGAGAGTACAAAACTTGACAATTGAACAGGTGTACATAAACGACTTTATTATACAATAAAAGATGAGAAACTAATATTAAAAAAGAATCGGTGGTCATTGTTTTTGTTAATGGGAACCCAAACAACGTTGTCAGCATACCTAAACGAATGAGAAATTAAAAGTGAAGAGGTTATCTGCCTGCGAGGACATTTCAGAGACTGACGCATCATCTGACGCAATAAATTTTCCATAAATACCCCTTTCCCATTTGATCCCTCTTCTCCGTTGCCCTTCTTATACCCCTCTCCGTTGCACTCGTGAAGATCTTCATTTCCGACACTCACACACGATTCTTCTGCAGGTTTCTCTACCTCTTATCTTCTCTTTTTTATTGATCATTGTTCTTTAAATTTTTTTTATGGAAAAAATATAAGGTCTTGCCCAGCGCTTGATTCTTCTCCATTTTCTACTATTTTCTCGCCATTTTCTCATCATCCAAACACCCCCCACCTCCAAGCTAGCTATGCTTCCTGGTTTGGGATTTCCGATGAATCTTGGCCGCGTAATGGAATCCTCTGATAGTAATCGGAAGGTCCTCAGTGAAGTGGACTTTTTCTCTAACCCAAGCAAGTCGTCGTCTTCTTCAGCACCACCAGCTCATGAAATTCATCATCATCACCAACATCAAGACGTTCAAACCCTTACCAATATCTCTGTCAAGAAGGAGATTTCTCAGACTCAACCAGTTTCTAGGTCTAATTTGGATATGAATGTAAGCTCCCTCCCTCCCTCCCTCTCTCTCTCTTCCTTTCGTATATTTCTCAGTCTCCGATATATATATTATTGATTTGTGCGCTGAGAGCGATAGAACCCAAAGAAAATTATTGAAAAAGATTGATTAATGGTAATTAATTTTGTGCTGTAGATTGGTTTGCAACTGCATACTGGTAATACCAGGAGTGATCAGTCTACAGTGGATGATCATGCCGTCTCGTCAGAAGCAGATGATAAGCGAGGCAAGAGCAACGAGGTATGTAATTTAAATAAATTAATTGAAGAAATAGAAATTAATTTTTTTTTGTTATTGTAATTAAGAAATAAGCATGAATTTATTTTTGTTTAATTATCTATAGTTGAAACAACTGCGAGAAGAGCTTCAGCGAATGGATAAAGAAAACCAGAATCTGAAAGAGACGCTGAGCCACATGAGCAGTAACTACACGGCCCTACAAATGCATCTCGCCGCATTAATCCAACAGAGACAACACAACCAACAAGCCCAGACCACACGACACGATCATCAGGTCACTTATATATTCGTTTGAATCTGTCTATGAACGCTAGACACAAGTTTTAACATGTCTTGTATTATTGTTTGTGCTGGTTTAGGTTGTTGGAAAAGGTGAGGAGATCAAAAAACAGGTTGCGAGGCAGTTTCTTGAGCTTGGAGGAGCTAGTGGTGGCGAAGCAGAAGCTGAGGTTGATGATGAAGTATCCAATTCTTGTTCAGATGAAAGAACTCAATCTGCTTCACCTCATCAGAACAACAATAGCGGTAAAAGTCATGAGAGGGGCAGGGAAGAGAGTCCAGATTCAGAATTACAAAAAGCTTATAAGCTTCAGAAACTGAACAATAATCACCTTTCTTCAAACCCCATGGATCAATCCACTGCTACTACAACAGAAGCCACCATGAGAAAAGCTCGCGTCTCAGTTCGCGCCAGATCAGAAGCTCCCATGGTGTGTGTGTGTGTGTGTCTATTAATTCATTACTAACATCATCGATGTCATCAGCTCGCACCTGGAAGATTCTAATTTGATTATCTGATTCAATATATATCACAGATCAGTGATGGTTGTCAATGGCGAAAATATGGACAAAAAATGGCCAAAGGAAACCCATGTCCTCGTGCTTATTACAGATGCACCATGGCCGTTGGTTGTCCTGTTCGTAAACAAGTGAGTTTTCCAATTCTCTGAAGCAAAATGATGTACTTTGAGTCCATCAGAATGTAGGACATCATATATTATAATTATATATATAATTGTTAGAATATTGTTCAAAAATGAGAGCAAGTTAAAATGTAAGGTTAATAACTAATATAAATTAAAGGAGAAATATCCATAAATTGATGTGATGTCTTTTTACTGTTCTTGTTCATTTCTCATCCTTTTCTGTTTCCCAGCACCGTGGCTCCATATTCTTCACACACACACACACACACAATACATACACGTATGTACGATGACTATGTTTTATTAATGTATGTGGGGGAATTAATTTGACAGGTTCAGCGTTGCGCAGAAGACAGAAGCATATTGGTAACAACGTATGAAGGGAATCATAACCATCCATTGCCTCCGGCAGCCATGGCGATGGCTTCGACGACGAGTGCAGCTGCAGGCATGTTGCTGTCCGGTTCAATGTCGAGTCCAGAAGGGATGATGAAGATGAACCCTATGTTAGCGAGAGCCATTCTTAACCCCTCTTGCTTTCCAACCATGGCTACTCTTTCTGCTTCGGCACCTTTCCCTACTGTAACATTGGACCTCACTCACAACAACAACAACAACAACGTCGCGATGCAGTTTCAACGTTCTTCTACGACGCCGCTTCAGATGATTCCATCACTGTATAACCATTCCAAGTTTTCTGGCCTTCAGTTGTCACAGGATAGGCCAGTTCAGCAGTCCGACGCCGTCGGAAACGCAGCCTCGGCGATCACTGCTGACCCGAACTTCACGGCGGCTCTTGCGGCTGCTATCTCTTCCATCATCCGTGGTAATGATCACCAGAACAATAGTGGAGGCACTAGCAGCAATCCTCATATCCTAAATAGTACTTCAATCAGCAGCTTTTCTGGGAATTAATTTAAATTGTAGCCTTCTCTCTCTCTGTCTCCTCTCTCTCTCAATCAATCATAAATTGAATTTCAATTTTTTCATCATAGGGAGGATTAAGATCTGAGAAACGAAAAGCTGTTTCATTGTATTCTTTCTTTCATTGTTTCGTTTGGAATAGTCCTTGTTCCAAATTTTCTTAGTAAATAGATTAAAAGAAAAATAAAATTCCATCAATGTGTTATCTGTTTTTTTTTTTTTTTTCGGGATTTGTCAACTTTGATACTTTAACGTCCAAGAACAACTCAACTATTAATCAGTCAAATGTGATCAACATTAATTAGTTTCTTGTTTTTGATGGCGATCGGTGAACATCCTCTGCCAGAAAAGTTACTTACTCCTCTCAAAAATATAAAATATTTTTAATTAAATCTTTTTTTCAATAAAAAAATTACCTACTTTTAAATTAATTTATATTCAAACTAACCTTATATTTTTATATTTATCTCTATTAAACACTCTATAATAAATATAAAGTCACGATTAATAGGAATACTTTTATAAAAAAATAATAATTATACTTTAAAAAATTAAAAATATTTTATATTTTTAATATTCAACTTTTTAAAACATAAATTATATCTTCAAACGAATGGAGTAACTATTGCTGGAAAAAATATAGGATTTTTGAATTTATGTGATTGGTCAAGAAAAACGGCTATTACTACCATTTTGACGGGGACACCTAAAATGAATGATGGTGAGGTGAGAGAGAAGACTTTCCAGCAACTATGTTGGACTCTGATCGGAGCACGGGATACGGGTTTGGGTTTGAGGTGGTGGCTGTTGATTGGTCAAAGGAAGATATGTTGTTGACTTTCATTGCAATTTCATATTCATTACCGCTAACAACTTCGTCGCAATTTCATCTTTTATATTTATCAGTCAAAATATAAAGTATTTTGAGTTTGATAAAAATAAAATTTTATTAACTTTATTTGTTTTAATATTATTCTTTTTTTATTATATTTCCCTTCTATTTAATGTTTCACATATACGCAGGTTATATTAAATTAAGAGTATTTTTAAAAATTTATATTTATATTTTCAAAAGACAAGATTATAAAATGTATTCAATATACTTTATTAACATATATAATTTTATTAAAAAAATATCTTATAAATTAGGGGAAGGTAGGATACGTTAGCCAAACTACAAGTAATTGCCATTAACCAGTCATGTGAGGATGTCTAAAAGTTGACGATAGCGAGCTTTTTGCCCCAAAAGGAAGAAAAAAAAGAACGGAGAAAAATTAGCAAGTGATGGGTTGTAGACAGACTGATATTGAGTCATTGACAGGGAGTCTAGTGTTAATATTAAATTTTATTTTCAAAAGTTTGTAACCAATATTTCATTTTACAAGTAGTTTTATATGAAATGATGAACAATTGATTACTTTCTTCCAATTTTAGTTTTTTTTTTTGTAATTTTCTAACAATGAAAGTAAGAGATTGTATAAAAGAGACATATAATATATTTTTAAAGATGTATGTTAAATAATGGTAAAGCACTATTAAAAAAATGTGAATTAATGAAGAAATTTAGTGAGAGATCATCTATTTCTCTCTAAAATACCACATTAGTGAGAAAATTAATGAGGGATATTGATTTTGTTGCTTGACTTAAAATTAGTGAGAAAAATAATGAGAAACTATCAATTCCTCTTTAAAATAAGAGAATTAGCGAGGAAAATAATGAGAAATACTACCAAAAAAATTTATTTTGCAATAAATTTTACCCTAATTTTGGGATTGAATTGTCGCCACAAATGTAGTTTGGGACGAAATTTGTGATGGATAACTTTTTGTCACTGTTTTGTGGGTCACAAATTATTTTCGACGAAATTTGAAATTCCATCACAATTTGAAATGGATATTTTGAGACAAAATTTCTGTCTCTAATTTGGGACAAATTTTAATGTCACAATGGTGTTCCTAATTTGAAACGGATTATAGTGTCACAGATCTATCTCAAAAATTTGTGAAGGAATTTCCATCGCAAACGCATGCCAATATTTGTGAAGGAAAATCTGTCACAAATGCGTTTCAAATTCCATGAAAGGCTATTTTGTCACAAATCTATATTTGAAAGAAATTTTTTTAATCATTTATTTAATTTCAATTGTTATTTCCCCCATCATTATTTTACAATCTTAACCTGTAGCAATAATTTTATATATAAAAATTAGCAAAGTTATAAGAAATTTAACTTAAAGCATTAAGAACAAAATATCTCATTTAGTATTTAAAATTTGATACAATCATACTCAAATGTCAAAACATAGGGAAATCATTCAAAAGCAGTTAAAGCAATCAAATAACATCATAATTACTAAACAACATCAAACAAAAGCATGAGCTCCATCATCTTTATCTTCATCTTCATACTCCACTGGTGTCATACGCTTCAGCAAAATATTGATATTCTTTGGGCAATTTTGAAGCTCTTGTCGCTGCTCATTTATTATTAACTCAAGTTTTTTGTTTATCTCTATCAAAGCATCTACATGCTTTTACAGCTCATTTTCAAATTCTGGGTGGAGTCAAGTATGATAAGAGGCATCCTTTACAGAGCAAAAGCTATGATATGAATGAGCCTCAAATCCAATACCAAAAATACGTCCTTTCCTATTAACACCACCCATATCTTTCAACCATAATTTTATATCATCAGCATAGTCTTCTTCTACTTCTTCAACAGGTGGATCCATATCTAGGAGCTCTCTTTAATTAGAGGATCTACTAGACCTCTTTATAGTCATATAATTTTCCTATAAAAAGATAGGTAATTAAATTATAATTTAACTCAATTTCATAACTCAACAAATTGAGTGATAAGCATTCATTTAACTTAACAAATTGACAAGGTAGCTATAAAGGAAGATTAAAATGCAAATGTTTAACATTCCATAAAAAATATAATAAAAGGTACAATTTTATATCAATTTCATTCAAATCTAATAACTCATAACTTTATCAAGTATAAAAAATTTATTAGAATATATCTTATGGTAGCTTTTGCTTCTTTATCCTCTAAATAATAAGATTTGCATTCTTCATAAACTCACCTTGGATAGTTAAAAATGAAATTTATAAGTAGATCTGATTCTCTATCATCGTCATTTCTTAGCAGTCTCATCATTATTGATTGAGCATCTAACTCAAAGTAATGAGAGCAAAATGTTGCAATATCTTCTATTATATAAGCCTCACAAATAGAGCCTTCCACACGAGCTTTATTCTTCACATTAAGCTTTAAGGTGTGTAGAAATCTACATTGAGAGTGACCATAAATATGGTGACCTAGTTTTGAAACAAAGTAAAAGTTTATTAAAATATATAGACAACTTTTACTACCTTTCAAATAGATACATCCATCGATATTAAATTGGTCCTCCAACCTTAGCTTCATAAGTAAGGTAAATTGGTAGGTGTTTCATTGAGTAAAAAAACCTTAGAGGACGAATTCTTTCCAACTTGCACAATGTTTCGATAATATTCTTCTCTAACACCTCTAGTTTAGAAATCATTAAGGTGTTTAAATAAATTTCTCTAAAGAATAGACTCAACTCAGGTAAAGGTTCCCAAACAACTTTTAGCAAAGCATAGAAAGCAATAGGAAGCAAACGTTCCATAAACACATGACAATTAGGACTTTTCATTCCATATAATTTTGCCTCCTTTATATTAACACGTTGAGCCAAATTAGATGCATACCTATCGAGGAGTTTTAGGTTCTTTACCTATTGACAAATAGCTTATTTTTGTTCAAGATTGAATGAATATCGTACTTTAGGTTACTTTTCTTACATCAATAATACTTTGGAAAGTCTATTCGAGCCTTCAAAGTATCTTTACTTTTCTCCTTTATGTCATGACAGTATAAAAGACATTGTCAAATACATTTTTTCAATATACATGAAATCATGATTGTGTCAAATGAGATTAATTTCCTAATACACTAACTCCTAAAATATTCCTTGTTTCTTCTAATTGTGAGTGACCCTATACCCCTTAATTCAAACTTCTCCACACTCAATTATTCTTGACAAATTGTATATTCTTTACCAAACTTCTTCCCCATTTAGCGATGGTGGAGGCATTGAATTCTCAACTCTATTCTTGTAAAATGATCTTTTATTTCTTTAATATTGATGATCATGTGGAAGAAATTGACGATGACAATCAAACCAAGATAATTTCCTCCCATGCTTCAATGTGAATGCCTTTGAGTTCTCTATAAATATAGGACATGCTAACTTCCTTACTATTGACCAACCAGACAACACGCCATACGTGGGGAAATCATTGATTGTCCATAATAATACAGCACACATTTAAAAGTTCTATCTTAATGAAGCATCACATGTTAGTACACCCACTTCCCACAATAACTTGAATTCATTTATCAATGATTGGAGATAAACATCTATTTTGCTCTTAGGATTATTTGGTCCTGGAATAATCAATATGAGGAACATGTACTCTTTTTCCATACACAACTCATGTGGTAAGTTATATAGAGTAACAATAACTGGCCAACAAGAGTAGCTTCTTCCATATTGGGCAAATGGGTTAAACCTATCAGCACATAATCTGAGTCTCACATTTCATAGATCACATGCAAATTCAGGGTAGGTGTTGTCAAACACCTTCCATGCTTTTTCCATCAAAGGGGTGAGATAGGATGCCAACATTTCGATCATTCTCACAGTGCCACCTCATTTCCTTTGCTATTTTTTTAGAAGTAAATAATCTTTGAAGTCTAGGTATGAGTGGTAGGAACCGTAATTGCTTTTTTACAATTTTTTTTCTTCCCCTATTATTTTTTCTTTTAAAATACCTTGCTTCACCACAAAACTTATAAAGGGTTGCATTTAAATCATCTTTATAATATAGCATACACCTATTCTCACAACAATCAATCTTCTTATAATTAAGCCTTAACCTTGACACTAACTTCTTTGTTTGGTACAAATTTTTTTAGCACACAAGTACCTTTAGGATTTATAGCCCTCACAAACCAAGAAATTTCATCATAAGTTTAATGTGACATGTTGGAATTTGCCTTAATATTTAGCAAGTGTATAGCTATTGAAAGTTGAGACCAATCATCACAACGTTCCTATAAGGGTTGTTGTGCAGCATGTAATATCTCATAAAAGACTTGTGCATCATGATTTGATGCCT